AAAGAACAGTGTCTAATTCCTTATCCAGTCCTGTGGGTCTGATATAAGTAAGCCCTGCCCCCAATAGCAGCAACAACATTCTAACATACTATTGATTACTTGTTCCTTATATGTATTGTTTATTTTCTTGCTCTTCCTATAAGAATTTAAACTTCATAAAGTCAAGGATCTTTGTTTTATTTATCAATACAGACCCAAAAAGCAAAATGGGGACTGGTACATGGTAAATTCTCAACAAATATCTGGTGAGTGATTTTATGTCCACACTATTTTTGAGCAACCACCAGAGTCTTGAGGAAGCCATACTTTCTAGGAAAGTTCTTTATACTGAGCTAAAATCTGGTTTTCTGTAGCTTTTAACAAAGGTTAAGCACTCTTCTAGAAGGCAGCCCTTCGGATGTTTGAAAATAGCCCTTTATCATCTGCCCTTTTCTCTAGGAGAAGCGTCCCCCGTTCCCTCACATACTCTACATATGACATTGTTCACCAGTGGCTGAGTAACCTTTGGTTCCTATGTATGAAGGAGCCTTTGGGTCCCTCACCACCTACTTCCCATGTAAAATAAGGCTGCCAGAACTAGAGGCAGGCAGCAGGTAAGGAGGGAAAATCAGGGTGAATCACCTCCAACATTCCAGAGCCATATGTTCACTTGTGCCACTAAGGATTACATTTCTGTTTTTGTTTATTTTTCTTGGAATGAACATCAAATGTTAATTCATAGGGAAAGACAAGGAAAGGGAGTTGATATTTATTGAGTAACTACCTTCCCTCTGCTAGGCATCCCCACCTTCCCTTTCGCCCACCTCCCCTACCATGCACTCTGCTAGGCACCCCCCAGCATGCATTCACTAAGTTAAAGTAACCAATACCTCATCCTAAATTTTTAGATAGCTAATAAGTTCCAGATTTGGGATTGAGCATTTTATCAACTAAAATTCCTAAGATTATTTTTCACTAGTGCTAAATCACATATTCTGTACCTTTCTTGTGTACTTGATCTCTAGGATTCAAAAAATTAGAATATCTTATTTTTACCTCTCAAATTTCTAATAAGTGTTCTTAAACCCTTATTTTATCTTCTTAGTTTAACCATTTTATCCAGCTTGTCACCAGCTATGGATTCATTTAGTTGTTCATTTATTTTTCTCCTTTACCTTTATGACGAACAATGAGCCTTTGGGCAGACCACTCGAACCTTCTTCTAGATGACACTGATCCATTAAGCAGTATTCGTAGTCTGATTATTGAATTAAGTACTCATTCTGCTAGGGCTGCCATAACAAAATACCGTAGACTGGGTGGCTTAAACAACAGAAATTTATTTTCTCACAGTTCTGGAATCTGGGAAGTCAATTATTAAGGAAACGAATATGATTTCTGGTGAGAACCCTCTTCCTGGTTCATAGACAGTACTTCTTGCCTTACCTTTATGTGGCAGAGAGAAAGCAAGCTCTCTAATGTCTCTCTTTAAAAAAAAAAAAAATACTTTAAAATATATTTTTTTAATTGATTTCAGAGAGGAAGGGAGAGGGGGAGAGAGATAGAAACATCAGTGATGAGAGAGAAACATTGAACAGCTGCCTCCTGCACGCCCCCTACTGGAGATTGGGCCTGCAACCCAGGTATGAGCCCTGGACAGGAATCGAACCAGCGACCCTTCAGTCCACTGGCCAGCACTCTATCCACTAAACCAAACTAGGGCTAATATCTCTTCTTATAAAGGCACTAATCCTATCACAAGAGCCTCATCTTCATGGCCTCATAATCCCTAAGTACCTCCTAAAGTCCCCATCTACAAATACATCACAATGGAGCATAACTTTTGGGGGAATATATAGATTTCAACATATAAATTTGGGGGGGATGTAAACATTCAGTCCACAATAGTACTGATGCACATTTGTCATCTTTTCATTCCTTCATTTTGTTGATAGCATGAAATACTGTCACCTGCTCTGCTAAGTCCATGTAGACTACATGGTGGCCTATATGATTTACCACTTTTTTTACTCTGTGCTCAAAAACTTTCCCTTTATAACAAATTTTAGATCCTTTTCTCTCATCCTATAACAATCTCAATAATATGCAGTTTGTAAAAATCCACCCTCTACTTTATAAAAATGATTTATATTGCCTCTTTCCAGTTTTTGCAGACACACAGACTACTTCATAAACTCTTGTTGTATATGATAAGAATACCTTGTTTAGCAGCATACACCAGCTCCCTAAAATCAATTCAGCTGAAATAAAAGTCTTAAACTCAGCTAAGTATAACCTTTGATTAACTCTACTCATCTGAGGCTTTTTAAAAATATATATATATATATTTTATTGATTTTATACAGAGAGGAAGGGAGAGAGATAGAGAGTTAGAAACATCGATGAGAGAGAGTCATCGATCAGCTGCCTCTTGCACACTCCCTACTGGGGATATGCCCGCAACCAAGGTACATGCCCTTGACCAGAATCGAACCCGGGACCCTTCAGTGCCCAAGCCAACGCTCTATCCATTGAGCCAAACCGGTCCCGGCTCATCTGAGGCTTTAAATCTTTTTATTCTCCTTAGTCTGGAGCTCATGCTCCCTAACAAAGAAAACAATGGTGTAATAGAATCTGGCAAATAACACTTTTTGTCATCCTCCATCACTGTGACTCCATCACTTCAAGTAATAGCATATCCGTTCTTTAAGCATCTTCTTACTCCCAGCACAGGTGTATTTGCTGACCTTGCTTCCAAATTCCCTGCTTTTCAATTGCCTTTGGATTTTTTAGTTTACGTGTCCTCAGACAACCCCAAGTAAATTTTAATAAAACCAACTCATTGTCCAAGCCAGGTTTTCTTCCTAATTCTTTTTTTTTTATTATTATTATTAAGGTATTACATATGTGTCCTTATCTTCCCATTGCCCCCCATCCCTCCCCACTCATGCCTCACCCCCCTGTTTTCTGTGTCCATTGGTTAGGCTCATATGCATGCATACCAGTCCTTTGGTTGACCTCTCCCCTTACCCCCACCTCCCCTACCTTTCCTCTGACGTTTGACAGTCTGAAAGATGCTTCTCCATCTCTGGATCTGTTTTTGTTCATCAGTTTATGATGTTCATTATTTTCCATAAATGAGTGAGATCATGTGATATTTATCTTTCTCTGACTGGCTTATTTTGCTTAGCATAATGCTCTCCAGTTCCATCCATGCTGTTGTAAATGGTAAGAATTCCTTCTTTTTTACAGCAGCGTTATTTCTATTAAAAGAAACACCATTCTGAAATGGTCGGGCTCAAACTTTTAAGGTGTCCTGGCCTTTCTTTCTCTGTGTCCATTAGGATTACATGTAGTGACTATGACAGAAACCTGACCACCGTGGCTTAAGCAATGTGGTTATTTTTCTCTCATAAGAAGTCAGGTGGTGGGCAAGCTAGGACTGGTGCTGCTGGTAAAACTGGCCAGACGGCTTTTGTCTTTCTGTTCTATCCCTTAGCAGATTTATTTCTGTGGACATAAGATGATTGTTGCTGCCATAGGGTTGCATCTGCCTTCGAGAGGTGGAAGAGTGAAAAACATTGGTACATGCTAGCAAAGTCTAAAACTATCTTTCCTGGAAGTCCCTCCCAATAGATTTGTACTTACACTAGCTAATTCATGTCACATGTCTTCATATAGCTGCAAGGGAGACTGGAATTTTGGATATTTTAACTGGGCATATTGCTGCATTGAACAAAATATTAATAAGGAAGAAGGTAGGATGGCTACTGGGTGGGCAACTAGCAGTGCCTGCTACATGATCCTTTGACCTCTTTTGAGATGGACATAAAATCCAGACCTTTTTTCCCTTTTTGATAGCAAATGTATTCTTTCCTGAGCATTCCAAACACTATAAATCTATTGCCCCTGTCACTGCATGCCACTGTAATGTTAAAGACCTATTTGAACCTGACTTTTCTAGCATGCTGCCTTTACCACATTGTTTTGTGGGGGTGTTTGTTTTATGGGTTTTTTTTTCTATTGTTCTCTATTACCCACAGGGTAGCTACAATTTCTTAGGCAGACATTGAAGGCCCTTCTTAATGTAGTATCCATCTGTCTTTGCAACCCTGTCCTCCACTACTTCAGCACAAACCACCTGCTTCTGTAAACTTAGTCTACCCTTTTTTCCTGGAACAAACTTTGGCCCTTTCCTATTAAAAAGCCATACTTTATACATGTCCTCTTCCAAATTAATAACAATAACAACAGCAGCAATAATACCTAACCTTTAGAAAGTTTTATGTGTGAGATCCTATCCTAAGGACTTTCAATGTAATTTTACTATTGAATTAATAAACACCAAGTTAGATAAATACCATATGTTCCCATTTAAGGAGGAAGAAACTAAGGCTTTAACAAGTTGTCACTTTTTTTTTAAACAATAGCATTCTTTTTTAAAAATATATATATATTTTATTGATTTTTGTACAGAGAGGAAGGGAGAGAGATAGAGAGTTAGAAATAACGATGAGAGAGAGTCATTGATCAGCTGCCTCTTGCACACCTCCCACTGGTGATATGCCCGCAACCAAGGTTCATGCCCCTGACCGGAATCGAACACAGGACCTTTCAGTCCCCAAGCCAACGCTCTATCCATTGAGCCAAACCAGTTTTGGCAAGTTGTCACTTCTTGAAGAGAGATAGCCAACACATGGCAGTTTTCCAAATTACACATCATGAAGAGTCAGTTTTAATTCTAAGTTTTCAAGTCTCCAAACCAAGTTTACAGAGATCTCTCCCTTCTCTCACTTCCTGCCGTATTTTTAGCATGTGCTACCTCTGTTTTTGGTAATACTTTAAAATATATGTGTGTGTGTGTGTGTGTGTGTGTGTGTGTGTGTGTGTGTGTGTGTGTATTTCCTTAACTATAGGAAAGCTCCTTACAAATGGAGACACTGAGTATCAAATATAATAGTTTGTACATAAAAGCATTCAGCAAATGATCAAAGATGCTGATGACTGATTTCCCACCATAGAAGCCAAGCAGCATGCTGGGGCACAAGAGCGTGAGGAGGCGTTGGGGTCAGACTGTGTTCAAGTCTGGAGATAGTTGGGGAGACTTTGAGGACAGTGATTTTGAAACTTCCCAAACCAAGAAACCAAGCATGAGTATTTTCAGAGAAAAGAGGAAAAAAGATTCTCCATTTTGGTAAGATTTCAGATTCCTCTGGAAAGTATATTTTTATTATGCATTAACCTTATTTTATTCCTTAAGTATAAATGAATGTAGATATTAAAAGATAATAAATAGCTTAAAACTAATTTACCTCTAAAAAGGTAATACTTGACTTCTCCCAGTAATGATTCTCAGTACTGATGGCTGGGTGCTGTGGGTGGGTGGAAGAAGAGGTTCTTGTTAATTTTTTAATGTGCCTTCTTGAATTATGATCACCATTATTCACATTTGAAATTCACATGTCTTCTTGCAGAAAGCAAAGCGTACTCAGATGGTGTCCAGATTCAACTATTTGCTTGTTATTCTAAACTTTTTTTTTTATCATTTCCTGAGCTTTTTCTGGAATTTTAATATCTCTGACAATCCCTTTTTTAAAAAAACAACAACATTTTTTTAATTGATTTCAGAGAAGAAGGGAGATGAGAGAGAGAGAGAGAGAGAGAGAGAGAGAGAGAGAGAGAGAGAGAGAGATCAATGATGAGAGAGAATCATGATTGGCTGCCTCCTGCATGCCCCACTGGGGACCAAGCCCACAACCTGGGCATGTGCCCTTGACAGGAATAGAACCTGGGACCCTTCAGTCTGCAGGCCGATGCTCTGTCCACTGAACAAAACTGACTAGGGCTGGCCGTCCCTTTTTATAAGTTGAATAATCATGAGCACTTTATTCAACTTGAAAGTGAGGGTTAAGTTTTGATGAACGTTTTGGGGAAAATACTTTATCCCCCTCCCCCCACTTTGGATCAGAAGAGAAACAGGGAGAATAGATTTAACATGAATCAGGAAAATTTAATCGCTGTTTGGTATTATATATTGCTGAAATCTTCACTTTTGGAGTACACAACCTGTGAAAGTGCATGAAGACTCTCTAAAGAGGATACCTGCTTGGATAATTCTTTTTTAAATTAATTTTTATGAATTTGAGAGAGAGAGAAGCATGGATTTGTTGTTCACTTATTTGTTGTTCACTTATTTGTTGTTCACTTATACATTCATTGGTTGATTCTTATAAGTGCCCTGACTGAGTATTGAACCTACAACCTTGGCATCTCAGGACAATACTCTAATCAACTGAGCTGCCTGGCCAAGGCCTGTTTGGATAATTCTTAGAGTTCCATATTATTCTATGTAGTTTACTATTGAATTAATAAACTAAAATATATGAGCTGGAGAAAAAAAACCTGCTTAATCTACTTCCCACTTTGCCAGAGAATCACCTCTCAGCCATTTCAAATCTTGCATGGCATAGGGTATAATAACCTGAATGGTGTTAAACAAAGGAAGAAATCAGAAGACTCGCACCTTCAATTAATTCAAAAGGCTTTCTGTCTATCCTTGTCTTATGCATATTTCTCCTAAGAGGAAAAGCCTGTGTTACAACTAGGGTATTTCAGTATGTGTTGGAAAGCCTGGAAATTCAGAACCACTTGAAGGACCAGAGCCTAGAGATGCTTTTTGTTTTAAGTCTACTAGAATGTTTTGTATAACTGATATCAGTGGGTTAGTTGCTGAGAGGAAAGACTTTTTAAAGTAACCATGTTGAAAATTAGTAGAATTGCAGCAATTGGTGTAACTACAGTGGGCTGAGGGGAAGGGAAAGACATCAGAAATGGGTGGCACTGTTTATAATGAGGGGCCTACCTGTATCTAGGGTTCTCCTAAAGTGGGCTGGAGTGGCCAGAAGTACAAAGGGCAGCCAAGTCAGTGTCCATCTCCAACAGAGTCCCCCAAAACTTACTTTGTATAGTATACTAGAGGCCCAGTGCACGGAATTTGTGCACGGGGTGGGGGGTGGGGGTGACCCAAATGGAGGCTTTAGTATCTGGAATTTATTTACCTTCTATAGTTGAAACATTGTAGCCTGGAGGGGAGCCAAGCTTCCTGCTCGATCCATGGCCAGCAGCCATTTCTATTTGGATTTGTTTACCTTCTATAATTGAAACTTTGTAGCCTTGAGTGGAGACTTAGGCCAGCTAGGGCATACGGAAAGCTTGACTTATTCCATTGCCTGGGAAACCCAAGCCTCCCTCCTACTCTCTGTGGCTGTAGCCATGTTGGTTGGGTTTATTTGAATACCTGCTCTAATTGGGTTTGTGAGTATGGCCGAGTAATGGTCAATTTGCATATTACTCTTTTTATTAGGTAGGATACTTTAGTAGATAGTTGACATGGCTATGATTGTCTTCCCTTTCCACATGTCTTCCCACATTACAAATCCACAATTATAGCAATTGTAGGGAAAGTAGAAATATATACACAGGCAATTTGCTGCTCAATTAGAAAGCTTTCTGTCACGTAATGTCTAGTATTAGAAATGATCCTATGCACTGCCTATATTTATTGGGTGTAAAGGTTGTCAGTTAATGTTCCTACCAGCAAAAAGACTGATGGAAACCATTTGTGAGGTCACCTTGACTGTACTGGAAAGGTGTGCAAAGGTGGGTAAGAAATAGTGTCATCTTCTCACTCTTCGCTCTGTAATGCTGCCTTTTGTTGACTTCCAAGGCTTCCAGAGTCAGTACCCTCAGACTCCAACCACTCATCAGTGGAAAACAAGAGCTTACCTGCCGCTATTTCCCTAAAATCTGATTCCAAATTATCAACGGCTTCAACAGCTAAACAGTACTACTTAAAACAATCAAGGTACCTTCCAGGTAAGTAGAGAAAATAAAATGTTTACTGCTAACAACAATATAAATAAGTCAGGCTCACGTGTCTTGGAATCTTGTAGAAAGGGCACCTATGAAATAATACAATCACCTGCTCTTTGCTGGCTCAGCCTTGTCAGTACTTGTTACCAAGTGCTTTTCTGGGCCTCCTGCCTTTATTTAAACTGCCCTAGAAGTGCCTAGCAGATAAAACTCAAGATGAAGAATATGACTCAAAAAAAAAAAAAAAAATAGCACCGTTCCCCCAGCAAAGCTATGCCTTTAGGAAATGCTACATTTTATTAAAACAATGTTTACACTCCCAATACAGCATTTTAGAAAAAGTAGGATGTTTATACTATTTCCCTAATAATCTGATTTATGCTTTTGAAAGATTATTTGGGCTGCTGAGTAGAACATGCTAGAGCAATGGTTCCCACAGGGGAGCAATTTTATTTTAAAGGGGGCAATTCAAGAATGAGCTATTAACAGTGAATTTTTTGTGGTTCTAGTGTCTTCATATAGAGTATATGAATATATAGTGTGACATATTTATACATTTCAATTCTTTGTTATATGTTTTGAAGCTTTATTTGCTATTTTTTTCATATCACTTCATATTATTTCTTTTAACAATTTCTTAGTGATTTTCAACTCTCTTTTTGTCTTTATTTTTCTCTTTCATTGACGCCATGTTCTTTTGGAAGCTTGTTTATACCAAGTTAATGGCCTTTAGGCTTCCTCCACATGAACAGGAGTTCACTTTTTGAAAAATAAGAATTATATGTCAAGGCGGGCGGTGGGAGGGGAAGGCATCAGGATTTTAGAGATGCTTAGGTGGGGCATGGCCAGAAAAGGTTGGGAACCACTATGCTAGAGGCTCAAGACATGTATATGTCTAGATAGAGAGGATAATGGTGTGTTCCATAATTGTACAGGCAGATAAAGAACTGGGTAAAATCTAGATAAATTTCAGAAGTGGAACTGATAGGACTTGCTGATAGATTAGCATGGTTAATGGTAAAGAATGAAAGGAGTTAGTGTTGGCTTCTGGGTTTTTGACTTGGCAGCTGGTTGGATAGTGGTGACTTTAACTGAGAAAGGGAAGATTAAGAGAGGCCTGGAGTGTGGAAGTGGAGAATCAGGAGTTAAGGTTGGGATGCCTATTAAACATCTGAGTTGATGTATCTAATAGACAATTGGGTGTATTAATCTGGAACTTAGGGAAAAGATCTAGACAGATGGTAGGGAGTTTATGTTATAGAATTTTCTCTTCAAAATACACTTTTAAAGGTTTAAAATTCAATTAAGTCTTAAGGAATCAATTTTTTTTTAAAATATATATTTTATTGATTTTTATACAGAGAGAAAGGGAGAGAGATAGAGAGTTAGAAACATCGATGAGAGAGAGTCATCGATCAGCTGCCTCTTGCACACCCCTACTGGGGATATGCCCGCAACCAAGGTACATGCCCTTGACCGGAATCGAACCCGGGACCTTTCAGTCCCCAAGCCGACGCTCTATCCATTGAGCCAAACCGGTCCCGGCAGGAATCAATTTTTAAATCACTGTTTATCTAAACAGAAACGTCTTTAGTCCAGCAGGAGGAGGAGATGGTCTTTTTCTTTTGTGCTGGCATGGGTATAGTCATTTACAGCTTTCTGAGTGTAATAAGCAGGCCACTGGGTTCATCTAAGGAAGGTTCGCTTTCCACACCACAGCCTCCAGAAGTAAGCCACAGTCTTTACTTCTCAGAAGCTTGTGTGGGAAGGGTAAGGAAGATGAGAGAAGAGGTAGAGACTAGACTGGTAGCAAGAGATTGATGAGTAATGTATTTTTCTGTTTACTTTTAGGCAACAATATAAATTTCAGTTCTAGGAATCCAATAAGGACCCACTCCTGTTGTCAGTAATTAAGGAGAGAAAAGAATGAAAGAGGAAAGGGTTTAGAAAGGGTTTGCACTTCGTTTTTTAATAAAGATTTTTTTTATTGTAAAAATGTTCTTAATGAGTAATTGCTACCTAGTGTATTTTCTTTATTGTCAGGTAATATAGCCTATCATAGTTCTATTTGTAGGTGTTCTGTTAGAAACCAAGATCCATAAGGAGCTACATCCTATAAGGAAGGGAAACTATTTACCTGATGGAGTGTTTTCCTTAGAAAACTGATAATAGGTTGTCTTGAAGCTTGGTACAGAAAAGCAGGCTTGTTTCTGGCTTCAAGACAAGGCTACAATCTCATAAATGTGAAACCCTGCTGAAGAATTCCCTTTGTGAAAAGCAAAAGCTCAGACTACCTGGTAACAGTTGCTAACTTCCTGCAGTGCTGGCAGTCCTCAGTGAGGATTTCTATTGTGCTAGCTAAAGGAAACACCACAGGTGTGACCCAGAGCTTTAGATTGTGTTATGTCTCTAGTGCCTCCTATTTAATTGTCCAATTTAATTGTCAGTAAAAAGAAGCAAGTCAAGAAGATTTCAACCTCTTAAAAATGGGTTAATAACACCTTTTTGATCACTGGTACCAAAGCCTGAGGTTGACTCCACATTTCAGATTTCAGAAAATCAAAAATTATTTAACTGTTTAGATTGTATTCTAATACAGAAGCAAGCTTCACAGACAGATCTTTACATGTCTACTCTGAGCTTCCAGGCTCCCAGCGTTCTTGGCCACGTGACTGTTTTCCCAGCCACACTGTGGTCCCTGAGGGTCTGGCACAGAGCACACACTCAAAATAAGTGATGACTTGGAAATATCTTTTTGAAGAAAATTTTTGTACCACTAATTTTTACCAGACATTTTAGTAAAAAAAAAAAAAAAAAGAAGTTTAATTATTGTGTTTTAGAAAATACCTTTATGAAACAAACTGTGAGGATTTCAGGTGATTGTGCTTATTAGGGCTTAGGATCATGTTAAGATTCAGAAAAAAGCAAGTATTTGTGATACTGTAAACAAAAGTTATTTCCTTCCCCCAAAAGTTATTCTCTTCCCCCAAGTTATTTCTAATCTTTGTATGTATTATGTATTTTTTCCTCCAAGTTTATGATTACACTCTAAACTTTGAAATGACTATTTTGTTCTTCTAAGGTGTAAATCCTAAGAACGTGTCCTTGATAGCCAATGGAAAGGATATAAATCCATATACTTGGAGTAATCAATTATTTCCTAAGTCATTGGGACCCATTGGGGCAGAACTTGCTTTCAAAAGGAGTAATGCAGGTAAAGCAAGAATACATTTCAAGTATAAATTTTCATTGTTTTTCTTCTGCAGATATTTACTTTTAAATATATTGCAGCTGCCTCCTTCCAACCAAGACACCCTTGGGGGAACACAAAGGGTTTCCACCTGGTGCTTGAGCACAGCTAGTTTTAAGGGAATCCTTTGCCAGATCTCAACTTCCGTATGGATTCTTTCCTAAAATGATCTGCCTGAGCAAGTGTTTCTGTTCTCCTACTTTACAAAAGAAAGAAGACTTCTCACTGTCTACTATGGTGTGTTTCCTATTTCCCCAAAGTGTAAAAATATCTGGGGTGGCTATGAAAGGGATAGTTTGATGTATTGGTGTCAGTGTTGAGAACATGAAACATAACTGGGGAACAAAGCTTTGTTAAATCAAGTGGTTTCCAATTCTTAACTTTCAAAAAATTAAAGAAGAACCTAAATGAGTTATTAGCTCACAGATAAGTAAAAATCACTTTTTATAAGATCACTATATGACTTTTGGTCTATAACTTTAATAAATTCAGACTACAGTGACAAAGCTGTAACAAAACACTTTTTGTTCCCAACTATTGGTTTACAATAACATGGTTTTTTAGGACTTCCTTTCCCCAAAATTAAAAAAAAACAAAACAAAAAAACAATAGAATTGATATTGAATGCTGTCTAATTTTAACAATAAGTAGTATTCATTTGTGGACACATGAAGACTTGAAAAAGGTCCCATATTTCCCTTTTAATTTTGGGGGGAACTTAATAGATTAATTTCCCCAAAAATTACTTTTCATGTGTAGTAATCAAAATTTAAATATTCATATTTTTATTAATTATATTCAGTAAAGCATTATTACTAACTTAATGCAGAAAAAAGTATTTTAATATGCTTATGGTTAAAGAAAGTTTTTAAAAATTTCAATTTACAACTTAAAGACTCTTAAGCCTAAAATAATTATTTGGGTAAAATTTGGGAATTATGAGTTAAAGAAAAACTCTAGAGAGAAAAGGAATTATTATGAAATTTCCAGCTTCAAGAACTAAAACCTGTTCATGTGTTTCTTAAGTCAGTATTGGTAGGCATAAAAATCACTATGATATTTAGACTCCTTTGGTTACATTCAAAGAAATATAATAGTTTTGTTTTTAAATGTCTCTAAGTATAACATGCCATAAATTACATCTTTTGCAACTAAAACTTAGGCTGAAATTTTTTAGATATCAGCTTAAAGTGTGTGAAGAAGTAAAGAATTTTTTTTTTTTAAGTAGATGGTTTTGGATAAAAAAGTTTGGGGATCACTGTGTAGCAATTCAGTAGTTCTGATACAACATCAACTCACTTTGGGCATTTCATAGTTTTCCAGACACTTTGAAGGCTCAGGTTTCCCATTTAACATGTGTTCAGGTGTCAACATTGCAGCACTGTATCTTACATACTTTTTTCTCAGTTTAAAAAAAAAAAAAATACTACTTACTGAACCAGCCACTTAAATACAAATCAGTGCAAATGACAGCACTGCAACTTTGCCATCAAATGAAAGCTGTGATAACACATGAGAAGATTTTTTTCATAGTAAGGGTTCTTTATGGATCTTTTCATTAATCATCTAATCCATTTTTCTCTACTTTTCTTAAAACATTTTCCTTATTATTCTTTCTTTCCATCTGCCTACTCTGTAGAAGAAAGCATAATTAAACCAATTGAAAAACTATCATGCAATGAAAGCTTTCCTGAGAAATTAGAGGACCCACAAGGTAAATTCTGGGCATTATAGATGAGTGCAACTTGCTCTTTGAACCTCTTGTTCAATTTTCTTCTCAACATTTACCACAAATCTTATCATAAAAGGCCATTGTGAAGGGCAAGGTCTCCTGCTCTCGGAGCCAGATCAGGTGGAGAAGGGACACATTCCACATCAGGAACATCTCTCTGCAGTAGTTGGGGCTCTGAAGCTCTATACTTGTCTTCTTAAATTAGACAATTCGTACAAATTAAGCCTACTGAAAAAGGTATTTGTTAACTTTGTAATAGATAGTCCTATAATTTTTAAAGTTCTGAAACTTATTTCTTAAGCATTAACAATCATTAAAAAGAAAAGATCGCCCTGGTTAATAGAGATGATGCATTTTGTAGAATCAGTGTTGCAGCTTTAAACAGTACTGACTGTTGGCTCCAACCTGAAAATGGGCAGTTCACAAAGTATATCACATGATAAGCCAAAATAATTTAAGAAGACTTCTCTCTACGTCATTTTGTATGCATTTTTCCTGAGCAACTTCTTCCTCCAATAGGCAGGAGCCTCCTGGGATGTTCAGTGTGTAGCTTTTAGAGTCCGACACACACCATTCTGTTACTCACCAGCCTTGCCATTTTGGACAAGTTACGTGGGGTCCCTAAATCAGTGTCCCCATGCATAAAATGGAGGAAATAGTATTTACCCAGGTATTATTATATAGCCATTCCTGGGATTTTTGTGAAACAGTGTTTAATAAGTGTTTGCTCTGGCGATGAGGATAAAAGCCAAGAGAGATGTTCTGAAGTTGCTACTAAATGTGACCATTGCCTTGAACTTCCTTACAAAAGGCTTTTGAAGTGAAGTACTGACTTGTGATCTAAAGTGAGTGCTGGGGGCAGAACTAAAGCCTAGTAAGACTGCTGTGCTTATGCCAAATTCAGTGTTTCTAAAAATTGTATCAACTGATTTTACTGTGTGAAATCCTTTAGGGTCTGAGAAGTAGCATTGTTGTTTGACATTTGTTGGTTCAAGAGCAAACACTTATTGTGAGCCTGTGCACAGCCCCATGGCAGACACCAGAGACATGGAAGGCCGGGGTTCAGACTGGTGAACAGATCACTCCATGTAAAGCATGCTCCCGTGGTAGCCACCACATGAACAGCTCTTGGAAGCCCCTAAGCTGTGAGCAGCAACTCACCTTTCCTCTGCCCGGTCCCCTGTCCAGCTCAGCTATGCTCCTTAAAGGAGCAGCTGTGTTCATTGTCCCTCATCTTCTCAGGTGCTCAGCTCCCTGGAGTTGATGCTCAGGCTCCCGAAGCAGCTCCCGCATTATCCTGGTGGCCAGATCCGGTGGGCAGTGCTGTCCCTCCAGACCTCTGCGCCTAGTCTGTAACTCCTTCTCTCTTCAGACGCCGAGGTCTCTTGAGTTTTCAGAGCCTGCTCTTCCTACTGTCTCCCTTTTTATTCTCTCTCCTCCACCGGGCCCTTTCTTTCCCTAATGCTAGTGCTCCCTGGGGTTCTACCCTGGTCTTGGCTCCTCTTGCAGTCCTTCTGAGATGACTCCTCCATGGCGCACTCCAACTTACTTGGACACTCCAACCTCCCACTTGCTCTATCTCTGCGATTTGAATACCCCACAGGCCCCGTATCTTCCCCAACACCTGTTTCTCCTCATGTTGTTGGCCTTAGTCACCAAAATGTAGACATTTATATTTCTCTCTTCCCCTCCCACCCCATATACCCACTCAGTTGCCTCTCCGTCCCCTCTGTGACTACATTAACCTTTGTAATCTCCCCTTTCAGCCCTAGCAGTGCTGGTCTCCTGCCAGGTCTCCTAACTGGTCTCCTGCCTTAGATTTTCCCCTTTCAACCCATTCCTATGCTGCTCTTGTTTGGTTATTCACTAATAGTGCTGAGGAGGAGGACAGCTGACACTTGCTGAACACAGATTCTGTGCTCAGTGCTTTGCATGCATCTCATTCAGTCCCTACAACAACCCTGAGGATAGTTCACTGTCACAGAGATTTTACGAAATGAAGAGGAGCACAGGGCACCGCAGGGAGGGGGCTTCTGGCCGGAGACATCCCGTGTTAAGAACTGGAGCCTAAAAACCTGGCGTGTTCAGGGGAACTCAGCCTCTGGTTAGGATTCTAGTTTGGTTATTTGTCAACTGTGAGAACTTCGGCAAAGTCTAAGAGCTGCAAGTGTGGATAATGATATGCATCCAAGAGGGTTGTTATATGGACTGAAGAGGAATATATTAAACCATAGTGCTGTGCCTGGAATCTAGTAGGTGCTCAAAGCTAGAATGTAGAATTAGTAGGGGTAGTATTCAAAGTTACTCTCTCTGGTGCTTTAAAATATTCACCTTCTCACAGTGAAACTTTATGACACATCACTAGGAAATCCTGGAAGTTACGCTACTCATGGTCAGTCAGGATATGCTCCTTCCTTTCTCAAGAAAGAAGTGGGGTCAGCTGGCCAGAGGATACACTTAGCACCGCTCAGCACAGCGGCTCCAGGTAAGAATGGCTTCGGGTGCATGTGTGAGGATTATGCTCAGACAGGAACTTTTCAATGTTCCCACAGTCACTTTTCCCAAGTGAAGGCGTTTAATCTGGCCTCACTCTATTAACACCAATTGTTTTTGGCAAAATGTCCGGTTTTTTACCCAAAGCTGTGGTTTTAGAGTCCAATACATAAGACTCCCTCTGATTAAGTGGATACTCAGCCAGATGCACAGACTGTATCTAGCAACCCTTATGAGGACCGGGTGGTAGATCTTTTGCAGGGAATTGACATTAAGTAATTTACCTGAGGTCACACAGCTAGTACCGTGTTTCCCTGAAAATAAGACATCCTCCGAAAATAAGACCTACTTACAGGTTTCCCTCTGAGTGAAATATAAGGCATCCCCCTGAAAATAAGCCCAACCCCCCACCACCACCACCACCACCGCTCTGTCTCAGAATGCTATTGCTAAACATGAGAGATTTGGTCCACTGATTCTGAAAGAAATGGAGTCGCAAGAAATTCACCAGGAAATTCAGGAATTGGATTGTTATGATGATATTCCAGAAGGTGATGATATGATTGTCATTGAATAAATGAGTAAATTCTTGATACTGTAGGATTCACAGTTTGTCTGGTTTTTGTTGACAACTACCGTACTACCGTACCATATACAGGTAATAAATTTCCTTTATTTTCATTTAACAATAAATGTGTACCATATTCTTCTTCATGGAAAAATAAGACATCCCCTGAAAATAAGACCTAGCGCATTTTTGGGAGCAAACATTAATATAAAACACTGTCTTATTTTGGGGGAAACAGGGTAAGTGGTGGAGCTCAGATAGAAACTGTCTGATTCCAAAGAGTGTGCTGTGCTGCATCATGAGACATGAGAAGATGCATTTTTCAGAGCTGCCTGCCCAGTGTAAAAGCTTAATGAATGCTGAGCGTCTGTCACGTTAACAGGCCGTCCTCTGTGGTCCCATTGGGAGCCCGGAACTGAGCTGTGGCAGAGCTCTCACTGGCTTTCGTTTTGCGGGTGGTGACAGGGTGTATGACTTCCCAGGCCGCCTGCTCTGCAGTGGTGTGTCATGTGACAGTCACAGTCAGGGGACGCTCATGAAGTTGGGTGATGATTTTGTACTGAGCTGACCAGATTTGACTAGAAATGTTCTCTAAATTATGGTCATCTAAAGTAGATATCCGAATTAAAGCACCTAAAATAAACACTAACATGGATAATCAGAAGTTTGGTAAGATACTAGTACTAGATGTAGTTTAGTTTAAAAGTTGACTCCACAAGTATTCTCACATCCTATCCTAAACAAGATCTTATATGAAAACTCCAGTAGGAGTTGCCAATCTCAAAAGTTTATATTATTGGAGCTAAAATTGTAAAAAGCATTGATCTTTAGTAATTTTTTATTTCTTACCAGACCTCCTTAAACAGTACTCAGTTACCTTAGCTGTGGAAAGAACTGCCTCATTACCTCTCTGCTGAAACAAAATATATAAACATCTTATGTACAGCAATAATTTTTATGAAGCCTCAAATTTTTAAGCCAGCCTTATAATGAGTTATTAGCATGACTTAGCAGCAAATTTTTAAAAATATTTTTTTATTGATTTCAGAGAGGAAGGGAGAAGGAGAGATAGAAGCATAATAATGAGAGAGAATCCTTGATCGACTGCCTCCTGCATGCCCCCTACTGTGAATTGAGCCCAAAACCTGGGCATGTGCCCTGACCAGGAATCAAACCGTGACCTCCTGGTTCATAAGTCAATGTCCAATCATTGAGCCACATCAGTCAGGCAGTAGCAATTTTTAATGTAAAAGCAGAAAGTCATAATGTTACAATTAATTTTGTTACCTGAGTACCTGCTTTTAGAGGATGAAAATGGGTATTTTAAACATATTTTATAGGATATTGAAACACTTTTTATGTGAATTATTTTGTCAGATTAGCATGCATATTCCTGTTTTCATTTTTAAAGTAAATGCTTCCTCGTAACTTTTCATCTCTTTATTTACTCTGCTTATCAGATTTTCCTACAGGTGGTGATAGGAGGAAAGGGACAAAAAGAAGTAAATACTAATCATTCTCAAGTGGTCAGTGCAGATCCTTAGGAAACACTGTTCTGTAAGCTGTGTCCTCCAGCCCTCCCACCTGTGTCACAGTTTCCCCGGGAAAACAAACAGGTCATTACCATGTTTACTCAACTATTTCCCTCCTCTCAGTCTCCTTTTCTGCTGTTTCTCTTCCTTACTCTCAAATTTTTAGGGGGAAAAAAAGTCAAATTTCTTTCTTCCTCCCCATGTAATCTCTCATCAGAAACTTGCTAAAACCTCCTCACCCCCTGCCTTGACAGAACACAGGCCTGAGGGGTGATTTCTTTCATATACAGTCGCCCTGTAGGGCCCTGTTCTAAGAGCTCTGTACTAGTATACATCAGCCCTTTAGCCCTCCCAGTGACTCTGTTACCCAAGGTACAGGGTAGGGCAAAAGTAGGTTTATAGTCACAAGTACAAAAAACACAAGTTTATTCTTATATTACTTATTCTTGTGTTATTTTCCATACAAACAACTGTAAACCTACTTTTCCCCTACCCTGTATGATCTCCGTTTTAGAGATGTTTTTTTTTTTTTTTAATCTTGTTAAAAGTTATATAGTAGTGGCACTGATTAAATCCTTAACTAGAGGTAGCCACCTTTTCCTTCAGCAGACATTGTGTACAGGAAGTGAAATGCCCTTCTAGGACACCTGCAGTTTTTAAAGTAAATGCACAGCAAGGATAAGGGGCTGACTATGCCCCTGCCAGGAGGGGTCCATGCAGAGCGTGGTCCAGCTAAGGCACAAAAACATTTCTTGCCCTGTCATGTGATTTGACCTCTTTTGTCAGTGATTAGTTCTTGACCAAAGGTACTTTAGTCCTAAAACTATTACTTCTCAGAAAGGAATCCTAAATGTCAGTATTTGCCTTCTTGGCAAAATGATTCCTTTTTTGATGGTTTTACAAATCTCTGCCTGGACACAGTTTCCTTCAAATGCACTGAGGACCAAACTTTGGCTGTCAGGACCCCGGAAAAGCTTGTCTGATTTTCATTCCCCAAGCTCCTCACTTCCCACCAGTGTTAACTTAAGAATGGGTCCCCTTTCCCCTTCTCTGAATCCCCTGGGCTCATGGCCTCTTGTCCCTCCTCCCTCCACTCCCATCTCTTCAACCGCTCTCTCCTCTGCTGGGGGTACCAGCTCGCTGAATGAACAAACTGATGCTCATCTGTGTTAGGGGGTCCGAACTAAAGGGCTGCCTGGACACCAGGATGCATTTAACTGCCTTCTAGATACCGTGTCCCTGCCTTTGTGAGGTCACTTTTATTGGCTTCACCTTTGAAGAGTTGAGTAGGATGAAATGACCTGTCCGACCACCAAGGGGAGAGCTCTTGGCCTCTCTCTCCCAACCAGACTACACAGCAGTGATTGTCACTAGGGGGGATCCTCACTTAATGTTTTGTTCCCTTTAAACTGTTAGCAGCACATCAGGACCCACATGCTCCATAAGTCCCTCCTATATTCCCAATTTCACAGTGGAATAAAGAAAAACCAGGGACGCCGAATAGGTAGAGTATACTTACCTATGTCAGGTATACAAAATGGTCAGACTCCCTTCAAAATAGATGCAGAGTTTAATCCAAAATGACAGCAGCCACACAGTGTGAAAAGAGATTTAAATCCCAAATGGAAAGATCAAACAACGCTCCTTAGAGAGAATACCTGACACCTGCCTAGCTTGAAGTTTGAAGTGAGGAGGGGGTAAAGGAGGGACTGAAGATACTGAAGTTCTCTGCAAAGTGACTTACTGCTTTGTCATTTGAGATATTCAGGCAACTTTAACAAATTATTCAGATAACAAATGTTCAACAATATAAAATTTCACAAAATTTTACTCAGCCAAGTGTATAACAAACCTTGTGATGAAAGATTTGGAATCCTAGGAATGACTCACCTTTTAGAGGGATTCAGTTAACATCCATCCTTTAGGCAATAAAAAGTCATGTTTGACTCTAAAAACTACATCTTAATGTTTAAAAATAAATCTATTTGTAACCAAGTGAAGCCAGTACTTTACAGGATTAACAATTCTGAAAACATTTTCTGTCATATTGTGTTTGAAGATTACTTAGATGTTAGCACAGTGCAATTTTATGAAGCCACTAACACTATGCATACTGCTCATTGAACTTGAACTTGGTCATCTTAGTTGGGTGTTCCCTATCTCCACGTGATGGGCAGTCACAACTCAAGTCAGAAAGAGCAGCAGTATCAGAACTGTAAACCAGGAGTAATAGCTCTGAGGCTACTGAAAATTCCAACAGGTGTCAACAAAACAGTACACTAGAATTTCTAGTTTTAATATTTAAAAAACCCTTAGAGACCACCAAATTAATCTTTTAAAGATAAATTCAAAATTTCCCCACAAAATGAGAGGATGATCACTTTATTTTGAATTTAATTATCAAATAAAACATTCTAATTTCTAATTCTGATTTCTTTCAGAATATACCTGGAACACAACTGGCCGGGGGCAATTTCCAGGACCTACTTACAACCCTACAGCCAAGAACATAAATATTGTGAACCGTGCACAGCCAGTTCCCTCAGTGCATGGGAGGACAGACTGGGTGGCCAAGTACGGAGGCCACCGGTAGGAGCTGCTGTGAAGCCCATGGCATTGCCTCCGAGTCCTCGGACCCTGGGAAGTGCCTACAGATGTCTACTTCTACGGAGTTCTGGAAGAACTATGTCATAGTGGTACTTAGAAGAGCAAAAATCATCTCCTATTTTCTTTCCTAAAAATGAGATGCATTTTCTTGGCTTTGTTGCCCACATATGGGTAGGACTAATATATGGGTAGGACTTTACAAAGTATTGAATAAACTATTTGCCAAAGTATCAAGTACTTGATATACAAATTAATAGATACTAAGTACAAGAAGCTTTTTTAAAAGTGCCTCCAGAAGTGTTTAGTTTTCATGTGTTGTATATTTGCCTAAACGACTTAATATTTCATCATTTGGCCTCAGAGGTTTGTTGTGTTTTTGTTTTTTATAGCAATTAGGTAGCGTGTGGACTGTCAGTTATAATTCTTACTTGGCCAAGGCTCTGCTCTACCACTCGGCATGGCAGGAGCATGGTAACTCAGCACTTGTTTTTCTACTTTGAAATTACAGAAGCAAAGATAATGCCAATCTTGAGCAGAATGTACTTCTTAGAAATAAATTTTCTTTAACTTAGAGATTTCAAAATTATGCCATCTGAATTGAGTGGGAAAAGAGCCTATTATTTAATTTTGACCAATAAAATTGCTATTAATTCATGGTAACAAACCCATGGCTTGATGACTCCCAAATGAACCAAGTCAAGATTCTCCCATGTTCACATCAAGAAAGTTTGTAAACCTGTGATGTGTGTTCATCAGACTTTCGAAATATGTTTGTTTCTGAGTCCCTATTGGACAAAAGGGTGATAGGATGTCAGCAAACTCTCACTGCTGACCATTGACTCAGCACTAACTCGGAGCACTCACATGTGCTCCAAAGAGCAAATGCATTCAGCTGCTGCTATAGCAGTGCTTTCACTTAGTCCATTTTTTTGTCTTAGTTTTATTTCTAAATTGGCTTTTAAAATAGACATTTTGAACTTATGACAACTTTATTTAAACCTGCCATTTTATGGGCTGGATATTAGTACTGTATATTCTTTTAAAAGAGTAATGTTATCAACTGCTAATAACATTATGTATTTTATGACTTTGTAGTAAATGTTAACGTAATCCATATCATCTTGTGAACATTATCCAAAGGCACATTATAGTAATAATATGGTATTTTTATACAGAAGACTCAGCTCTCCTTGTTAAAAAATACTAAAATCTAAAGAATAATTTATGTTGGTGGTAATGGTTATATATATTTGTACAGTTTTAATTACTATCTCAAAGCTAAACAATGATTTTGCTGGGACTGTTTAAACTCTTAAAATATATTAAAATTAATATGGTTAACTAGTGTCTTTTCTTTACATTTTTAAACTTTATACTTATATTTTGAGGACTGTTTATTGTTTTAGTTAGCTAACTCTGAGGTGTTGGGGTTTTTTTGTTTTGTTTTGTTTTTAGCAGTTTTAAGTTTATCAAAAAATTGATAAACTTCCACTCTGTACTTCATTAACCCCTCCTCAAATTTCCCCTATTAACATATTGCATTATTGTGTGACACTTGTTATAACCGATGAATCAATATTTATACATTATTAACTAAAGCCCATAGCTTACATTAGGGTGAGTGCTTTGTGTGGTATATTCTATGGGTTTTGACAAAAATGTATAATGACATGTATCCACCAGTATAGTTCTATACAGAATAGTTTCACTGCCTTAAAAACCCCTGGTGCTCCACCCATTCGTCCTTCCCTCCCCAGCTCAAACCTCTGGCAACCACTGATCCTTTTGTCTTTATAGTTTCTCTTTATCCACAATATACCACATAGTTGGAATCATGCACTAGGTAGCCTTTTCAGATTGGTTTCTTTCAATTAATATACATTTAAGTTTCCTCCATGTCTTTTCCTAGCTTGATATCTCATTTCTGTTTATCACTAAATAATAGTCCACTGTTCCCCTGCAGTATGCTGCCATCACAGTGATCATGGAACTCACCTGCACACAGAGGAGGTCACAGCCAAAGAGGCTTTAAAACAATTTCAAAAGATCCCCTTCCTGCCCTAAATAACAGCCGCTCCCTCCCCCCAACCCCAATCTCTTCTGGCGACTGATCTGGACATTAGAGACACTCTGTTTTATCTCATTTACATTTCACGATACCTAGAAAACCACTGTTTCTTCATTTTTTAGAGGAGGGAATGAAGAAGAGATCTCAGCAGACAGCAGAACTGGAAGTCAAGCCCAGATAATCTTAGTATAGAGCCTTTCTTCTCAAACACTATTACATTACAAAAGAATTATCGATTGGGGAACGCAACATAGATGACATACAAGAGCAAAGATGAAATCTAATAATCTAAAAGCAAAGGTTAGAGTATGGTACCATGACTGGGAGGAGGGGCCTAGGGTAGCCAAATGGTCAAGACTGCTCTCCAAGCTAGATGCATACATAATTGTGTCGAATAAG